TATGGCCTGCAGCATGCAGGGGGTCAGACCAGATGATCATAATGGTCCCTTCTGACCTTAAAGTCTATGAGTATGCAGTCAACCTGTGGAACTCCTTGCTTGAGGAGGTTGTGAAGGCTAGGACTGTAACAGGGTTTAAAAGAGAACTAGATAAATTCATCGAGGTTAAGTCCATTAATGGCTATTAGCCAGGATGGGTAAGGAATGATGCCCCTAGCCTCTATTTGTCAGAGGGTGGAGATGGATGGCAGGAGAGAGATCACTTGATCATTTCCTGTTAGGTTCACTCCCTCTGGAGCACCTGGCATTGGTCACTGTCGGTAGTCAGGATACTGGGCTAGATGGACCTTTGGTCTGACCCAGTATGGCCATTCTTATGTTCTTAAGGCACGCTGCAATCAAAATATAATTGCATTTGAATCATTACAGTACACGAGACTAGTGGTCCATTATCGTCCAGCATCCTTTCTCGGATAGCAGCCAGTACCAAAAGCTTTTAAGGATGGTGCAAGAACCAGCCAATAGATGTGGGCAATTATGGAATATAACCAGCCCATTGGGAAATTTCTTCTTAAAACCCTTTTGCAGTTAGTGGATTATGCCCAGAAGCACGAGTTTGTATATCCTTTTAAATTCTTTAAAAAAAAAATCCTATCTAATGAGGTTGTGGACGTTCTTACTATCTTTACCAATATTTAATCTTTTCTTAAACTCTGTTAAGCTCTCAATGATAGCATGTGGTACTTGTCACAGTAGAACTGTTTTGTGAAAAAGTATTTCTTTTTATCACATTTAAATTCTCTGCCTTTGAAATTCATTAAGTGTTCCCTTGTTTGTACATTAACCAAAAAAAAAAAAAAAAGCATAAACAGGACAGTCTCCTTACCACATATAATTTGGGGTACCAGATCATGTCACCCCATCTGTCTCTCTAAATAGTCCTAATCTTTTAATTCTCTTCATATGAAAGTTTTCCCATGCTTCTTATTTATTTAATTTTGGCTTGTTTGTTTTTGGAAAAAACATTACCAGAACTGAAAACAGTATTCTAGTTGAGGATGTGCCACTTATTTGTCATTATTTAATTTTTTCCATTCTGTAATGCATCCTAATGTTCTTTTTACTTTTTCACTGCAGTTGTTCATTCGCAGAGTTGGTGTTCATAGAGCTGTCCAAAGACACCCAGACCACTTTCCTGCATGTTATAGTTAATTTACAATGCAGCAATGCATGAGTTCTTCACATTATTCCTTTGAATGAGCATTATTTTACATGTATCCATTCTTAATATCATCTATAATCATGTTGCCTATTTATCGAACTTTGTTAGTTTCACTGTAATTCCTCAGTGTTTTCTGCAGTTTTGACTAAATGAATTGCGTAATTTGAAAGTTTTGCCACCTCACTGCTCATTCCCTTTTCCAGATCATTACTAAATTTAACATTGGTGCTAATACAGAACTTTATGGAACCCCAGTGTTAACCACCTTTCAAGCATGATGAAAACTGACCATTTATAGATGTGTGGTAATTCTTCAAAAAGGGCCATTTTTCAGAATTTAATGTAGCCACCCTATACACGACACCCACATATCACTTGAAAGCTTAATTTATGTATGTTTAAATGAGGTATGGTGTGGTACTGTCAAGTGATGCCCTAAGCCTGTAGATGATATGAAACAATGGTACTCAAAATGAGAAAGTGTAATTTTTTGCACAGTTCTAGAATCACTGCAACATGACTAACAAACAGTAAAAACTGTAGTCAATTTCAATATCTTAATGTGGTGTTTATTGGTCAAATCTTCCAAATGCCAATGTATTAAAAGATCTGTATTGGTTTTGCATATGCAAATATTTCTTTTTAAAAAAATGAAGCTGTTTAGCATGTGACAAAAATAGCAAATAAGATTTTGCAATATACTAACATGAAATGTTTCACATTGCATATTTTTATTTGTCAAAGTACCTCACAAGTGACCACAGTTTTATGTATTTTCAATTAAAATTTGCTGACCAGATCAGTCTCTCACTGAAAGCTGTAGCAGTAGATTGCATGCCCATAGTTTGTATTGCATAGTGGCTAAATATACATGTATGTGAATTCCTAATGTCATGTTTCTTTATCTGTAACCTTTTGTACATACAGTGTTGCATCTAGTATGCGTGGTAGAACGTTTTAATTTATAATTGCCTATGCATGCAATACTAGTGTTTGAAATATTTTAGAAACCAGCTTTTTAATTCAGTGACACTTATGCACAGGTCAGTGTTATTGTTAGAGATGACACAGCTTAATATTATGAATATGCAAAATGAGAGAGAGAGAGAGAAGTGGCCTAAAAAGAAGTAATGAATACAAAGTCCACAAACAAGTCCTTGCCTCTGCACTGAAGAGGGAGGAAGTGCATGTTATAGCTCTTACCAACCATGTCATCAACAATATGACAAACCCATTTAACCCTGAATCACATCCAGAGGTGCTTATCAACATATCTACTGGACAGCATGTAACATCAGATGTACAAGAGTCTCCACTGAAAACAGCAGATGTTGGTAAAGAACAAATGGGAAGATTTTTGAGAGGTGCACTTGATTATGATGGAACACATAGCTAGATAAGTCCAGTCTAGAAATCTGGTATCAAAACATTTGTTGACATGGCCAAGATGACCACATTTAAATTTGGCAAGGGAGGGACATCACAGCAGTTATCAGTCCAGAAATTGTTTTCCGCAGAGCTCTGTCCTTAGCAAGATACAGAGATGATGTTTCAGTGACAACTGTTATGTCCTGTACCTGTGTCCCTCTTCCATGGTGATGGAACAATGAGAAGAACAGACAAAGCTGAATTAGGGCATCATCTAGAAGCTCAAGTTGAAAGAATCTATGAGCTAAGACCATTCAAAAGAGAAACCATAGTGTACATCAGAGATGTCACGACTGTCATACAAATGATGGCTAGCGCCAAATTCCACACATTCAGTGAACTGACTGCTGAGTACTTAAGACAGGTTCTAAAAGGATTTGACAAAGCTAATTCTGTAATCATAGTCTTTGACAAATATGACGACAACAGCAACTCTGAAAACTGCAAAAAAGACAGCATCAGATAGGATCTAAGGTTGGATGCAAGAAATACCAAGTGATTGGTGGGCACCCTCTGACTCCATGAAAAAAGTTTCTATATGTGGCATCCAACAAGCAGTCACTTGTAAAATTCTTCTGTGAACAAATGGTTCAAAATGCACATAAGAATGGAGGAGCACAGCACAAACACTCCTTCTTGCTGGAAGCTTTTGCAATGGTGAAGTAGCTAAGTCCATTACCAGCAGAGGAGATGAAGAAGTCCAAGACTGGTCTAGTAACACAAGAGAAAATGGACACAAGGATGCTTCTGCATGCTATATGTGCCAATATGGCTTTTGGTCTCTTGGTGAAAAAGGAACTTTAGTAATTAGTCACTTGATGCACATGTTTTGGTCCTTGCTGTTCACTACTTTCCAAAAATGGAACACAAACAACATCTAGATTGAAACAGGTACCATTACCAGCACAAATGACAGGCATTGCTTCATATCTGTGCATGCAATTTGTGGCACATTCACTCCTGACTTTTGAAACATACTTCCTGCTGTACATGTATTAATAGGATGGGATTGTGTCATCCCCTATTTGGTATTACAAAAATATCTGTGATTAATGTTGTGAACACAAAGAGCTTACCACTTCAGAGCTTGCTAAATTGGGGGAAGAGTAATGGACAAGCTGCAATGTCTGCAGCAAAGAAGTTGGTAGCAATGCTGTATGACCAGAGTGAGAATGAAAAGGAGACTCTCAGAAATCTGAATTGCTTGTACCTCAATCTATCCATCAAAAAGGATGAGCCACTGGCCAAACTCCCACTGTGTGAGGACAGTTTTGAAATGCATGTCAAAAAAGCATCTTGGCAAGCAAAAGTTTAGATGCTTTCACACATAGGTAAACCAGATATTAGATCACCATTGCGACATGGATAGAAAAATGTGAACAAAGAACTATTTCTGTATTCTTCAAGGGCCCAATGGCACCTGAGCTTCTATGAGACCTTATTTGTGCCTGTACCAGTAGAGGTCACTGCACAATCAACTGTGTCTGTAGTTAGAACAATATTCCTTGCACAGAACTCGTCACATGCCAAGACAATGAATATTTGGTAACCCATGCACTCTCGCTAGAGATCATTATAATGATGTTCACTAGAAATGTCATCAGTGCTATTACATTTCAACGATAACTGTACAAGTTTATCAGATATCGTTTTACCCTTTAGATTGTTATTGTGATGCTCTGAAGTCACAAAGAAATTCAATTTTATGTCTCGAAATACAGAGTGTCATTAAACTAACAGAAACAAATTTAAGTATTTCAAAGTGGCCATTTTAACATGTTGATAGTGACATTGTTTATCCTCATTTCTGTGGTAACAGCTGCACATCATACCTCATCTTAAAGTAGACGTAATAAGCTTTCAAATAATCCATAGTGTGCATGTGTGTAGAAAAGGATTAAGTAGACCAAATAGGTGCTGTCTGCTACTCATGCCCATTATTCCTTCTCTTTTTTGTTTCCATTATAGAACTTTGCCTATTGCCCCAGAACTACAAGAACTAACTACGGAATCTGAGCTTCTATCACACATTTTTTGAAAGTCCACGTAAATTATATCAACTAGTTCTCCTTATTTTGTTGGCATACTGTAAGATTAGTGAGGCACCATTTTCCTTTGCAGAAGCCATATTGGTTTGTCCCTATCATAACAATGATCATTTAGGTATTTTATAATTCTATTACCATCATCATTTCAACCAGCACAAAAAGTAAGGCTTGCTGGTCTGTAATTTCCAGAAACACAGGGCACGTTTTTAAAAGAAAGATACATTTGCTACCGTTCAATTCTCTGGGATAGCAGCAGATTTCAATGAATGATTGCATTCTTTGTTAGTAGCTCAGTTACTTCATTCTTAAGTTCTTTCAGAATTTTAAGGTGTATATGATCAGGTCTTAGTGACTGGTTGGCTTTTTAATGTATCAGATTATTCCAGCACCTTCTCCTTTGACACCTTATTTTCTGACAGTACCTCATCTTTTTACCAGCAAACAGTAGGTCCTTCCCCATCCTCCACATTCTCAGGGATGAAGACTAATACAAAGAAATCGCTTAGCTTCCCTGAAACATACTTTATCCTCTTTGATTGTTCCCTTTATTCCCTCTTCTATGAGTATCTTAAAAATATCTTTTTTAAAAGCTAGTTGTGGCTGTTTGCTCTTCAAATTCCATTTTAGCATTCCTAATTTCCATTTTACATATTTTCTTCCACAGGCTGTCTTAGGTCTTTTTTACCATCTTTTCCCACCATTAAACCAATGTGCTTTAAAAAAAACCAGAAGACACGAAACAGATGTGCATCAATGCCTCCCTGCTGCAATCACAGGAAACTGGACTGTCCAATTTGCCCACCAATTCCTAATAAAAATTGTTGGAACCATACTACAAATATATGCATGTCATCAACAGCTATAACTTATATTTGTTATCCCGAGAACTCTGAAGAGATTATAATTAGGCAAGGTGGAGATTTTGAATATATTACATTTTATTTCTATCTGAATGCAGTAAATAAGAGTATTTTTAGTGTTAATGAAACTATGAACTTTTGTTTCAGACCATATGCAAAGTTAAAATGTAAGTGGTTGTAAAATTAGCATTTTTTACTTTTAACCTGTGAAACAGAAGAGGCTAATTTGGTCTAAAGCCAACCTCCTATAAAGCTGAAATTGCACCAAAAGCAGAATCTAATGACTGTGGTAAGGCACTAAAATAATTTTTATGACCCTGGATATATTTTTAGCTAGAGATATTCATATTCGCTAATACACACAATGCAGAGAAAACGCCTCAGCTCTAATACTATGAAACAGCAAAGTTACAAAGAATGCTTGCTTTTCTCTGTGCAGTTCTTAGTGAGATTGGACTTTAAATTTAACTTTTACATCTTGTTCTATATACTGTAGAACCCACAATACTCCACTCTGCTTCCTTTTAAAGAACAAAACATGTAAAGAGAATTTCCTAGTTCAGCTCCCCCTTTCAGATGGTAAGTTAGTTCCTTAACTGGGCTCAATAGCCTGCAACATTTTGGCACTATTTTAATCCCTGTATATCAGTGGTTCTCAAACTTTTGTACTGGTGACCCCTTTCACACAGCAAACCTCTGAGGGTGACCCCCCCCCTTATAAATTAAAAACACTTTTTTATATATTTAACACCATTATAAATGCTGGAGGGAAAGCAGGGTTTGAGGTGGAGGCTGACAGCTCACGACCCCCCATGTAATAAGCTTGCGACCCACTCAGGGGTCCCGACCCCAGTTTGAGAACCACTGCTGTATCATATGGATTTCAATAAACTTCTTCACCAGCAAGCACAGAATCTTGCATCCCTTTTTCAATCAGTGGGTTTTTTCCCGTACAGCAGATTTACCTTTCAATGCTGCTAGATTCTTCCACGTCAACTTCTCTGCATGTCATCAGCTTCTTTTGAAGGGCATGTGCAATATCCTTAACAAGTGAAGCTTTGTGCTTACCTATTTGAAATATGTTAAAAAAAAAAAAGTCTGCATAGTCCTGTGTAGCATCTATATAACAAATTAACAGTTTGTTAAAAACTGGCAATATATTTACTTAGATTTTCATTACACAAGTTAAGTGTATAAATTTGTGCTTGTGAATGCTATTATATTCCTATAAAACAAGATATGGAGGAGGACTATGTTAGCCTAGCAGATAAAGTTTTTTATTTTTTTAAAAGACCCCACGAAGTTTTAGATCCAATGTCTAATAGCATTCCTTACAACTTTGCATTTTTAATTCTGCATTCCTATAAAAATTACTACTTCTGAATTTCCACAGCTAACTGGAAAAATAATGTAACAATTTTAAAATTAAGTTGGACTAAAATCTACTACTGACAAAAGTCTGCATTGGAGACAAAATTAGTTTGACTCACCTTTGATTATAACAACTATGTACGCAGCAGCTGTAAGACTAACAATTCCTTCAATTTCTTCACAGACAATGCATTCCATTAATTCATTTAAAAATGACCTAGAAGAAAATCAAAGGCACATGGGGAAACACATTCCTTTAAAAACATAAATAGGACTTTTAATTGCCCCCCCCCCCAACGGTAGTTCTCCAAACCGTCACATGGGAAACAATGATCTAGGATCAATCATGAGACTCCAAAACACAGTTTAAGTGTGGAAATCTCAAATGTACTTCTTACAGAAGATTGTTAACTGGCTGATCTCTGGAGTTTCACTGCTGATTGCTTCCTCTGAACCGATGTATTCTGTACAGTGGTGGCTGCTTAGGAATGGAACAAGGGAATTTAGGTGAAATAATTCATATGAGAAGAGGAGCAGCAGTAACCAAAAAATAAAGATTTTTTGGTGTATTTAGAAAAGAAAAAAAGAAATTCAGACAGAAAAAAGAAAAGTCCTTAAAAGGTAAAAATACTGGCTCTAAAATAAACTGGAATTGTAACTCATTTAATTGTCTGTCATTTTCTGTGGAAGTCAAACAAGTTGATGATGGTGTGAACCAAACTCCAGACAGTGCTCTACAAATCTCAGATATTGGAATGACTCAGAGAAACAGCAGAGGTTGCTTGAGCTCTGGTGGAATGGGACTTGATCAGTGTATCCTGGATCAGATGGATCCAGACACACTATTGTATATAGCCATTTCTAATAATGCCTAAATAGGTTTTGGACTGTATTTGTATTATCATAGCACCCTGGAGCACTAGTCATGGACTCCATTGTGCTAGGTGCTATACAAACAAAACAAAGGGACAGTTCCTGCCCCCAAAGAGTTTATGATCTAAGTAAAAAAATTAGGGAACGAGTAAAGACTCCCTGTTCTGGAACTGCACAGGTAGCTCCACTGCTCTGAGGCTATGTCTACACTACCCGCCGGATCCGTGGGCAGCGATCGATCCAGCAGGGGGTGATTTATCGCATCGATCCCCGAGTGCTACTGCAAGAGGCGCAGGCGGAGTCGAGGGGGGAGCAGCAGCAATCGACTCACTGCAGTGAAGACACTGTGGTGAGTAGGTCTAAGTATGTCGACTTCAGCTACGTTATTCACGTAGGTGAAGTTGCGTAACTTAGATCGACCCCCCCCCCCCGCCCGCCCCCAGTGTAGACCAGGCCTGAGTTGCAGAAGGGAGTTCATTTCCTTTCTTAGTAATATCTTGTGAGAGGGATCCCTGGAAAGGGACAGGGAAAGAGGGTAGGGAATGAATGGAACTGGATGGTGTATCCCTATAACCATGGACCACTTGGTCCTGGAAATCTGGTTCCAGGCTCTCTGAAAACAAGACAGTTCCCAAAACAGGGTGGGGGCAGATCTCCGACTCTTGACCATACCCTCAAACCTCCTGATGCGGGATATATGGTTTTCCTCCTCTGAAACCTCTGCCTCTTCCTTGGAGGATCTTTGCTGGCCATAATAGGATTAGACGGATTGCCTATGTCTCTGATAATTCTGAGGCCTGTATTGTGTCTCATGGAAGACAGAATACAGGCTTCCAGAGCCTAAGATGGCTTGAGTCCTTTAACAGGTGCACAGTTTCATTATTATGCTTAATTAAGAGGTCAGAGTAATTGAACGTGGTCATTTAGACCTCCTTTGGTATCCCTGAGGACTGCAACCAAGCAACCTGCATGATTGCGGAGTCAGAGGCTTCAATGAGAGGTCCATGCAACCAGATGCCACTCTAACACCAGGGACTTAGGTTCCTGCAGCAGCACAGAGAGGAACTTTGTCCTGGGGTGTTCACTTGAGTACTCCCTGCTGCCTAGACATCTCTTGGACAGCAGTTATGACCAAGGATCCAGGCACCAGATGGTTATAAAAGTATTTAACCTCCTTAGAGATGACTGGTAGCACCTATATCTGTACCAAAGAGTCACTCTGAGGTGGGCACCACTGAAGCTCCAGGACTCAATGTTGAGAAAGGTCCCACTTCTTGACTATGGAGGTGGGCATCACTGAAACTGAGCTTTGCCATAGGTATCTGGTTGGCTCCTACAAGCCTTTGGCAATGCCAATCTACCAGGACCAATGAACACAGACTGTCTAGACATTTGCAAGACTTCTCATGCATTATTCTCCACTAGAATGTCCAAGGTGTGTGGCATTCACTGGAGAAGTTTCTAGTTTTCTGGCTGGGTCAGAACAGCTGGGTGGACAGCCTCATCAGGAGAAGAGCACAAAAAGCTCTTGAGAAATAAGGCTGGATCTCCGACTCCTGCATATTTTCCTGTTCAAATTCCTGGTCCTGAAGGTATGATTGTATGCTGGATCACTAGGCTTTCCTGGGGGTCTATGGAAGAAGGAGACCTGAGTTTAGAAATAGGATCAATGGATAGAGCCCTTCTGTTGAGATGCACTCCCAAAATAGCCATATGTGCATGGGATAGGGGAATGGTTTTGCAGGCCATGGAGAATACTATGAGGGATGTTCCTACCAAGAATTCAAATGCCCTCTCTTGTAGAAGTGTCCCCTGGACTCCCCGTATAAATAGCTCAGTTCATAAGGCAGTGAGTGAGGCAAATACATAGGTGACACCTTCCTAGTCACTTCAGATGTAGGAGGAGGAGGAGGAAAAGAAATACAACTCCTCCACAGGAGCAGGTCCTGGAGCATCCTCTATGACACAGAGGATGGTGTACTTGGGTCCAGGACAATAGTTTCCTAGTACATGCCAGCAACAGACTCTGGCAACTCAGATGCCGTCAAGCTTCCTTGAAACATGAACATTGGTTCTGAGGCAGTTTCATCTGTGTCTGGAATTATGAATGGTATTGCAGAGGAAGGTACAAGCTACTTCAGTGTCTGTGCCAGAAGATTTGGTACTAGGGCTGGGAGCTCAGAAGCTTGCACCAGGTTCTTTGGAGTTGGTTCAAGAAGCTCTGAAGAAGTTTTGGTTCTGAGTGCTTCAGGATGGGTGCTTGGCTACCATCAATACTGGTCAAAAGAAGGATGGCTTCTTCAAGAGGTAACTCTTCAGTACAGAGGCATCAGTGGGATCCAATGTGGGACTTAAACTGCCTCTAAACTTAGATCTATTGTGTGCTGGAGAGAGAGATCTGAGTCTCCAGATACCATGGACGTTATGCTCCTTCCTTCGTCTCTCCTCAGAGGATTGATCTGAGGAATGTAGGGAAGCTCTGGCTGACTCCATAGTCAAGGACTGGAACCTTTCTCAAGGCTGAGTCCTGGAGCTCAAGATAGACCCTGGTTTACCGGAGTGCTCTGAGACTGTCTGGTCCGGCTTGGCTCCCTTCTCCCTCTCAAGAATGGATGATGCTCTCATAGATCTCTCTATCAGGAAAAGTTTGAGGTGAGATTCCCTTGTTTTTGGGTCCTTTTCAAAAAGAAGGAGCACACAGAGCACTTTTGTGGTGTATGTGCTTCACTGAGGCAGAAGAGGCACTTAGAGTGTCACTGATGGAAATAGCTGTCTCACAGGAGAGACAGAGTTTGAATCCCAGAAGCTTTGATTCCACTATGTGCAGGGGCATCTGGTGCCAAGGCACCCCAGACTTGAAGACTTTTCCCTTTTTCGCCAACAGACTAAAACGATATAAATCTAACTAACTAACTAGAAATAACAAAATCGTGCAGTGGGCAGAGATGTGGTTTTCAGTTTCCTCTTACCCCCTGTGGTTGCAAGACAGAAGGGTGATTGTGGTTGCCCTGCCCTTTGGACGCTTGAGCTATGGAGCACTGGAAGGTGTACAGAGCATGGCATGATCCCTGACACTGCTATTCAAAAAGATTCTGATCTGGGGTGCATGCACAGCAGAATTGGAATACATGTGGCTAATCACTTGAAGAAAAATAAGTTATGAACAAATTTTAAAAGGGTGATTAAAATGAAAATTGAAATTCAGCTGTAACTGCAGCAGACTCAACTAACCTCCATTAAAATAGTGATAGAAGACATAACAAGCATTCCAATTTAGGTCCTACAGAAAAGTCACTTGGGAAAGCTGCAGAATGCACACCAAGCTCTCTTTCAGGGCATACTTAACACTTACTATAATAACAACTAAATAATTTCTTTATGCCATTTGCATAGTGCCATCAGTGTGTATTTTACAGTTGAGTTTTAGCATGCATGTTGTTAGTTCCAGGTTATATGATTGGTGTTATTTCTGGTGAAGACTTTGGTTTGATCTGAACCCTTCCATATAGGAAGGGCTAGGATTTATAAATACCTTTTGAAATAAGTATGTTTTGAAGAGTGATTATGAGGAAAGGAATTATTAGAATGAATAGTCATGTGATTCTAATACAAGGACAACAGAAAAAGCAAAAAACTAAATCAACGTAACAAAAAAGTAAAGGATTATGGGATATTACATGGAAATGTAGTAGGTGATGTAGGTATTCACTGGCTAATTCCACAAACTTGAATTTAAGAATTAAAAGCTTGTTTGGTAACTTACTGGTTTCACATTAATAAACCTTATGGAAACTAACAGACAAAGATTACCTGACCACATTTATTGACTTAATTATCATTGCCATTAAACTGCCTGAAAGTGGAGGAAGGTCTGCAATGGACTCTGGTGGTGCAAGTTCTTCTGCATTTGAAGCCTAAAAAGAAGACAGCTCAAATTCAAAATAAATACAGAAGCACACAGAAAATAATTAAGAAAAACAGGATTTCAGTAGCTACATTAACTGAATGCATGTTTAAGTTATAGGGAGAAATATTTAAATGTATTTTTCTAGTTCATTTCAGAAAAGTACTTGACAGTTTAACTCAGTGGTGTCAAAATAAACAAAGCAAAGTTTGATTGGAAAGATTAAAACTTGTAACCAGATATTTGGCATTTACATTAAAGGAAGTAACTAATATCATACATAGATGATCTTTAGCAAAAATACCATTTAAACTATATTGTTAATTAATATTTATAAAGGTGGCAGCTCACCGACAGGGAAGATATTACATATACTTACAGAGTGGAAATTTTTATGTATTAGATCAGTGGTTCTCAAACTTTTTACTAAGGCAACCCACCAATCGCATTTTGTCTCTTTTGGGGACCCACTATTACACCCTTAATCCACCCCCTTGCCTTTCTCAGCTTAGTGCAACCCTCTCTCTCTTCCCCTTCTCAGCTCTTCAGTCATCTGTTCTCTCCTTCTTAGTCCAAGCCTGCTCAGCTCCCCCAGTCCCCGTGCTCTTGCTCTCCCAGTCCTACCCCCTCTTGCAGCCCTAGTTGCTCCCTCTCTCCGTTCATGGCCAGGCCTATGATCTCTATCAGGCTACTGACTGTCTGCTTACTGGCTCCAGCCCAGATCCTGCTTCCCATGCTGCTGCGTGCTACCCACAGGAAGTAAAAGTAGGTAGGCAGCAGCAGCACAGAGGCAGCAGGCAAGCAGGCAGCAACAGCACAGAGGTAGCCTGTACATGCATTGAAGGTGCTTCCACCATGGTGCTGCCACCCAGAGCCCACTTCCTATGCTGCTGCCCAGGGTAAGCGAGAGCATGGTGTGTGTGTGTGTGTGTGGTGGGAGAAAAGGGCACACACACAACAGTCCTAGACCCTTCCCAGACCGCACTAGTGGGTTGGGACCCACCATGTGGGGAACAAGAACATTAGATAATAAACAGTTTTTATAACCAAGGATACGGTGATTTCCTCGTTTGCTGCATGAGCTCTTATTGGTGTCAAGTTTTGAGTAACAATAAGACTTTAAAAAAACAAGTTTCACTAAATAGCAGCATAGCCTGAAACAAAGATGTTTTTTCCCATTAGTTTTGTGAAAACAACTCTATAAATGATTGACTTCTTTCAAATCATTCAAAATATTTTGTATAGTGGAATTGCCTACTAATGTGGTGCGCTGAAGCATTTTGCAGTCCTGGAAAGTGCAGCACTGTAAGGGAGACTCGAATACTCTCCTGGCATAGAGGAGACAATCGGGTTCCCCATAGTCTATAAAAGATAGCTGTCAAATTGACAGTCACAATTTGTATGGTCAGTCCTTGAATCACTGGTAGAAATGCTGTACAGGTGTAAAAAATTGCCCTACACTCTAGTAAGTATGCAGTCGAGTTTCCTGACAGATCCATAGACTACAGGCCTGAAGGTGGTAGAGGTCAGCTTCCCCCAAGTAGAGAGGCATCTGTAAATAAAGGCCTTGGTGGGAAGAGGTAGGAAGACCAGTAGTCCTTTTCACACCTGATCTGGATGAGAGGACTTCAGAGGGGACCTGCACTATCATATCTACGTGGTGTCTGTTTGGAAGGTATACAACTTCAGCCACCATAGCATGCAACAAAAGCGAAAATGGTGCATGATGTGTGCAGAAAGCCTTGTGACCGACCAGACATAGGCAAGCTCTCACAGTAGCGTATGCATGAGTCTGCAACTAGTTGATGAGGACTACCATGATGTCAAACATGTCCTTAGGCAGACAGGCCCTCGCTGTCATGGAGTTCAATTCTGCCCCTATTCAAGTCTATTCTCTATATTGGCACCCAAGGAAGGCATCTCTCTGTTGATTTTTAGGCCCAGTGCAACAAAGTTAAGAATTTGATTAATGGAGTCTTCTAGTTGCTGTGATAAGCAAACAGCCAAGTACACTATGAGTATAGAGATGCCAGAAGACAGCACCTGCAACCATTTTGGAGGTTGGTGCAGCGTATGGGGTCTGCCAGTTGTTTTTTGCTGGAGCCAATAAAGCTTCATTCACTGGTAATGCCAGACTTGGGAGTATGAAGTATATTTAGGAGCGCAAAAGCTGTTCTGTACCACCTCCACAGGAGTCTTAAGTGAATCCACTATGCAGCAGAGCAAATCCTGGGAGCTTTTGTAATCATCTGGCTGAGAGGGTGTTGTAGGAACCACAACCTTGTCCAGAGATAATGAGATAGCAGTTGGCATGGTCTGCTCTACCATGGGAAGATGCTTTTCCTCTGATATCTCTTAACATGTTGAACTGCAACCTGAGACAGCCAAGCTCCTGAAAACCATTTTTTTGGGGGGGGCATAAGAGGATAATTACCAAAGCTTTTTATTAAGCCTACAAAAATGCCAATTTTATCACTGCATAACGCCTCCTTCAACAGGTCAGGATCTCTGGCTTTCCTTTGATGTACAGTCAATGGAGGTTCAGATTAACCAAGGAAGGGCACTACTGTACAATTCAAGCTTGACCACTGCTAGCCCTTTTTTGAATTGCTTTGGTTTAAAGGTTGAACTTTTAGTATAATAAACTAAAAAAAAAACAAACAGATTTAAACTCTTTACCTTTCGCAGTGTGTGACTTATCTCGACCACTACTGCAGCTAGGAGAGTAGAGAGTACACCATGGTGAACTGCTGGACAAGATGAACACCAGCACTGGACTGTGTGTATAAATTCTCCAAGAGGCATTTGAATAGAATGAATCAACTAAATAAATAAATAAAAATATAGATCAGTTACAGTATTTCCACTTCGGGAACATTTTAGTGCAATTAAAAGCCTTCAGTCAGGGATTCTCAAACTTTCATAGAGTTGACTACATCTTAATAGAGTGTCTCAGGAACTACTGTCTCTCTCCCATTTGCTATCACATAACACCTCCACAACAATTGCTTACCTAGAAAACTAATGTTAGGAAAATATTTAATGTAGTTTAGCTGTCTTTTGGTGCAATTTAGCAACTCAGAATAAGGAAGAGAACTAGCATTACGAGAGCAGTTAGGTCTCTGTGAATCTATCCTTTAGGGCCTAGTCAAAGGATTGAAAAGCACAAGGAAAATCCCCCAAGGGCATTAAAGGCAAAGGCTTGGACCCTAAGGCTATGTCTACATTTGAGCTGGGAGATACTATTCCCAGCTCATGTAGACATACCTACACTAGCTCTGCTCAAGCTGGCATGCTAAAAATAACATTGTAGCTAGGGTAGCATGGACAGCAGCTTAGGCTAGATGCCTGAGTATGTACCCACCCAGACTCCCTGGATATGTACCTGAGTGGCTAACCCAAATTCCTGCCCATGCCATTCTATGCTGCTATTTTTAGCATGCTAGCTTGAGTACAGCTAGTGCAGGTGTCTACACATGAGCTGGGAATCACACCTCCCAGCTCAAATGCAGACATAGGATTACTTGAAAGGATCCAAGACTTCCTGGCACTGATCTACTGATCTCAGCACTAGGAAGATAACACTGTCCAGACCCTGCTATAAGCATATAAATTTCCTTTTCTTGAAGTAAAGTAGGTTCTGGAGGACTTTGACACCACTCCTTTGGGCAAGAGAGAACAGTTGTAAGCCATATAGCTGTGAAAAAGAGACAAATAGCCTACAGAAGGAGGAACTAGCATAAAAATGCCTGATCCAGTTTGGCAGTCTAAACTAACATCACAAATGCTTGATTCTTTTTTATGTTAGTATTTCCACTGAGCAGGACCAGCAGTGGGGAAAATCCTATCGATGACAAGGCTTAGAGCACAGGACACAAATGGCATAATGTCAAATCAATTATTAAACTAAGAGGATAATAAAGTATTTTTGTGCCAATAAACCCAATGTGTCCAACTCACAACTGAGTAAAAGTCAAAGTCAGTGTTTATAGTTAACTTTACAATGACATGGTTTTGTGATTGTAATAGGATAAATACCTGAAGCCCTTCTTCCCGCTGTTTTCTGAGTCTGCGTGCCACACTTTCTAAAATTTTCTGGAACAGAGCCTGAACAGCATGGAGAAATGTTGCCAATTCTTCATCCGTATCAATGTTTTGAGTCAAAGAAGCTTCAATAATCTCTTTTAGAACACAAAGTAATGTAGGAATACAAAAGCAGCCTCTTTCTAGAGAAACAAATATCATATTAGATATTTTAAAAACTACAGATTTTTTAACTAGATTGATATTCTTTAGCTCAGGGCTTAAATTCTCACAGTATTTCCCAGAGCCTCGCCGCCTACCCCTCAACATACTATTAAAACTCCAGGGGGGTTGAAAAATATTTATGAGAGCTCCACTTTGGACATCTCTGGCTAAATTTAAGCCCTGCTTTAGCTACAAGCTTAGAATGAAATTCATTTACACTATATAAATGGCTGTAATTTACTAGTGTAGATTATTTTATATTTAGCTAATTAACATCTGTTTAGATTTCTTACTGATTTCACTGTTTTAATTACTGTATCAGTTCTTTTAGCTAGCTTAAATGTTTGGCAAATTTAATTTTTAAGATGTAAAACAACATCATGACGTTTTGTATATGGTGTCTTTTGTACACTAATTTTAAGGTAACAGCTAAATTGCAAAGCCATGCAAGGACACAGGGTCCAGACATGAAAACGTTCAATTGTTTTCAAATAAACATGCCTATGGACTTATTCTCTCTCCCACCCAGTAAAATAGCTCTTTTTCACATTGAGAGCTGCTACTTTGCTTTCATAAAGAATTGAAGTTGAATTAATAAAAATATATTTTAATAAAGGAAACTATGTAATAGAAGAAAAGAAAGTGGGTTTCAGAGGAGTTCTTGGGACTTTAGGGACGCTCTTTTGTTTTATAACAGCATTTGTAAAATTCACTCTACATATTGTAAAAAGTTGTATTCAAAACATCCAAAGGAAAGATCAAGTCAGAGGAAGCAGACTATGGCGCTTCCTTCCTCTATTTAAATGGGAGTTCACACAAAATCCTGTATGATTGAAGAAATGTAAGAGACCAGTTAGTTTATTGAG